GATTAATAAATGTACATGCTGGGAGGTAGCGGTCACTAACCCCAATGTTTTTGACCATTTTTGTGGAACATTTGCAATAAACTCACAATTATGCATTAGAATGAAACAAACTGTCAATTTCTGCTAATTGCAAAAAAACTTAATGTGGAAAAAGTAGAGGTACAAATATGTCCTAAGCCACTGCAGAGACGTATCTGTACTTTATTCACAAACTCAACCTGTAATCTCACAGATCTATAGATGCATTTCTTTCAGGGCAGGGTAAATGTTTCGAATCCCGTCCCACAGACTGCTTATGCTGAAACTTTGTGTAGTTCAAAGCATGTCAGAAGTTAAGCTTACAAACAAAAAAACACAACAGTTTTTAGAAAGAACATGCGTCACATTCACCGAGTGGATCATGACAAAATAAACATGCAGTAAAGTCTACCGACTACTTTTGTGTTTCTGGATCAAATACTACTGTGATTCCATGTGAAATACTGACATGAACAGAACATGCAAATCCCACACAGCTTGTTCAAGAATAACTTCACTGCAACAAAAGCGTACACACTAACATGCAGTGACGCAGCAGCTCTGGTGGACATGTGCGAGCAACTTCCACCGTTCAAAACTCCGACAGCATATTAGGGCCGATGTAGATAGGAAGAAAAACAAAAATAAGGAGTAAATTTCCAGCAAGAAATCTCCCAAATTTTCAACAAAAAAAACTCAGAAATTTCTAAGTTTGAATAGTTGCGCGAATTTTCAACTTTTGAAACTCTGAAAGTTCCCAAAAAGTAAAAAATGTTCAAAGTTTTATTTCCTAGAACATTTGTGAGATTAATCTGAAAATCTCTGAGTTTTTTTCTAGCAAATGTTCGACTTTTCAAACTCTGAGATTTTTACGTCTTTTCTGGAAAACTTCAGAGGTTAATCTCAAAATTTGTGAGGTTTTTGGCGAAAATAATTTTTTTTTTTTTTTTTTTTCTCCAATGGCCATAATACGCCGTCGTAGGAAACGGATGCAACTCCAAGCAGGTGAGAGAGTTGCTGTTAGTTGAGGGGAAGCGGGGCGGTGGGTGTTAGCTGGGTTGGCGTCATGCATGAGTAACATGGAAACGTGGAGGTGTGGGGGGTTGGAGACAGAGCGGGGATGGATGAACTACAACGGACGTTTCAAGGTACGTACCCAGAAAGAGCCTCTTAGGGATTCTGACCTCCTCGTCCTTACTGTCTGTCGCTACGGGCAAAACGGAAAGAGAGGGACAAGAAGAAGAAACAGCTTGGTTTTCTGCGGGTCTTCTCATCAACACTAGCAGATGACCAGCGGAGCTCCCGGCTGCTCGACTACGTTTTAGCCATTAGCGAGTGGAGTCCGATCCGGATACGATGTTGTAACATTTTTGGGCCTTGGCATCAATTTCACAAAAAAAAAAGTTAAAAAGTATTTGGTTTCGTTTTGTTTCATTAAAATGAAAACGCGACAGCCCGTTATTATTTGCAGCCTAACCAATCGGACCAGCCTTTCCTGCTTATATGACTTTTTTAAAGACATTATGTCAATGCTGTGAACTCAATGCAGTCGGTCTGCTACGCAAATTTGACTTGAGATTTTATCTGTGTTTTTTGTTAACTGTAACCTCCTCAAAATAAAGAAAGCAAGTAGCATTAATTGTAGTGATGATGTGCTAAGAGAAAAAAGGAAAAAAGAAAAAATGTCCTTTAAATCAGAAACTCACAAAGTTTAAAAAAAAGAAGAGAAAAAGAACACCTTACTTAAATTTTTGTATTTTGTGTTTCAGAACGTTATAAAATCATCAAGACTTTTCCACATTCTAAAACTATTTAAACACAACCTTACAAGTATAAAGCCGTCAAACTTGACACATTTTCACTATTTTTAAAGCAAAGATGAGGGACCAAGAGAAAAGCAGAGCAAAAGCAAACGACACCTTTGTTGCTTTTAGAGGATTTAAGAAAGACAGAAGCCAATGCCTGCAACATTTGTTCTGAACTGGTTCTCCAAGTGTGTAACTATGTGAACTCCGTGTCCACACAGGGTGAAGATTAATGTTCCTAATTTATCTCCAATTTCTTTTTCCAATCATACAAAGTAATCATTGAATCAGTCTAGATCCGTAGTTGGGGTCACAAATATGCAAGTCTGGGGCCTTCAGGTTCAGAAGTGAACCTAAACACTAAACATATTTTAGAAATGCTGTAAAAGATTCAATAATCCGACAACTTCCAAAAGCGACCTTGTCTGACAAAAACTCTCAGACTGAGCAGAAGGTTCGACGTAGCTTCTGCCATTGTTTGATTGTGTTTTTGTTGCGTATGGTCCATGTTGAGCTACTTTTTGCCGCCAACTAAAGGACAACGACACCCACTGGAGCCGTTACTCAACTGTAATGGAAAACCGCCCAAACTATGTAGAGTAGAACTGAGTCAAGTCCAGCTACACTGCTAGGTGCTCACAGGAAAGGGCCCGATGTTGGAGAAATCAACTGGAACACACACTCAAGTGAAGAACAAACAAAGATCTGTAGAAAAGTGTCTACAGAAAGTGTCTGTAGAAAACTAAAAACTAAAAAGTGTCTGTAGAAAACTAAAACTCTAAAGGATTACAGGTAAAAAAAAAATTGCCATTCCTCCAGGGTGACTTCAGTTACCAACTAGGTGGTACTAATTACAACGCTTGATTTATTGAGCAACTGTGACCATCTGCATGGAGGCAAGCGTTTTGGAAGTTTGATGGTCTGGACCATAAGGAAAGTTAAAAGTAGAGTTACTATAAGACACGTAATCACATGAGAGTTTGAATGTAAATAAGCAGCAGTCCTTATCAAACTCAAGGCGGCTCCTAGGATCTCCTGTTACAACTGGGAGATTTATGGCCTTTTAACTTTAATTACAAGGACAAAGACAGAGCAACTATAGTTATTTTGTCACCAAGTCATTTTTTTTACTTCAGGATGTCTAGCAAAAGGTTTTAATTCTCTTTGAACTTTTCCACATTTTGTTGCCTTAAAACCACAAAATTTTAAGGGAACGTTTCTACGGCCTTACTGGTAGAGTGTGAAGAAGAAAGCCATGTGAGGTGTTGCTAGCAGTTAGCCAGCGAGGGATAGCAAACACAGCGAAGAAAGACGTTTTTTTAATCCCTAAAATGGTAAAAATGATGGTACGTGGGTGGAAACCCGGCCTGAAAACTTCACCCAAGGCGAAACATGGTGGTGACAGCATCACAGTGTAGTGTGGTGATGCTTTTCTTGACCAGAAATAGTGAAGTTGATCACTGATTAAGGGAATTTAGGGATTATTGTTATTAGAAAAAAATTCAACACAAGTTTGTGGTTGAAAAGGAGTCAAATATGAAGTTCTGTTTTCTATTTGTCTTCTTCCTCTCTTTGGGTTCCAGTTTCTCTCTCTCTCACACACACACAGTATTTGAGTTATCTAAATGCCTCTGACCTAAGAAGGAGCGCCTCTTGGTGCTGAGTTCGGCAGCCATGCGGACGTTGGTGCACAGGTTGAGCATGACCAGCATGGTGCAGATCATGATGATGCTCTGCCACAGCAGCGGCATCTCGTAATATCGGCCGAATCTGGGAAGGAAAAATGGAGAAGAGAAGATGAAGCATACAGTGACCTGAATTTGTCTCTTACATTTTGCCACATTACACCCCCAGATTTCTGTGTATCGTTTTAGGGTATTGCATGATCAACTAGATTTAGGTCTAGACTTTGACTGGGCCATTCTAGTACATGTGTATGCTTTGATCTAAACCGTTCCCCTTGTAGGGGACACCTGGTGTTCTGTCTGCTCTTTTCAGATTTTGGACTAAACATAAAAGCATTCCACACTTTTCAGATTTTGAATTAAGCATAAATGCAGGCCACATTTTTTAGATTTTGGGCTAAACTTAAATGCAAGAAATTAAATATTGAAAATAAAAAACATTAAAACTTTGTTTTTAGAAAATAGAAAACCCAAATGGAAACTAATTTCTAAAATAAAAAAAGGGAGAGGAAAAAATCCCTTCTATTTGATACTGAAGTTCTGAGAGTAGAAAAGGTTGAACAGGCACAAAACATGCCCACATATCTGAGGAGGACCCAGCCGTACCTGAACAGGATTCTCAGGATGTTGGCCACCAGTAGCACCAGGCACACGTAGGTGGAGAAGCCCTCCGCGTTCTGGGTCCGGTGGATGTCTCTGTACTGCGGGATGTACGGCACCACACCGCCGAACATGATGGCACCCGCGGCGACCCACGACACCAGCGAGCTGAAGACGGACACAGCATGCTGGAACACTTCATCCTCCATGTTCAGCTGCGGTTCTGAAGTGAAGCCAGCCGGCTGGCAGAGCTCCTAGGGATTGACAGATGATGATGATGATGATGCCTCGGAGTGTGCGCGAGGAGTAACATCCGTGTTGTGGTGGCTCTTTCGCACAGGATGTACAAACAATGGAACCTCTACTGCCACGACATCGATACGATAAACCGGAAGGTTGTGTTACAACATTGGAAATCAGCGAGGATCTGATTAGCGGGGTGATTTGTTGTCGTGTTGATGCTAGCAAGAGGTCAGTCAGAGCTACGGCATTTAAATAATTATGATGATAAACCTAAGTTTTTAAAACTCAGTGAAATAATATTAAAAATTGACTGCAAAAAAAGAAAAGAAAAAGAAAAGTACAGCATTGACATAGGGAGCATTCCTTCGCTGTGCAGCTCAACCGGTTAGTCAGTTTATTCCTTCTTTCTGCACTTCCTGAAACGTCATAAACTCGAACGAAGATGGTGAACTCAGTCAAGATGCTTCACTCGCCAAGTTGATGTTGCGCTTTTCTCGCTGCGATAAGAAAATAACTTCTATCTCATCATAAAAATGCTGGAAAAGGTGTTTTTTTTTTTATTTTTATTGGCGGTTGGCAAAAAAAAAAAAAAAAAAAAAAAAAAAAAAACGTTAGGTAAGCATTACCACCGAAGAAAATGTCGCCTATGTTTTGTGTTTTTCTTCAGTGTGTTTCTATGCTAAAAGTCCTTAAAGTAATGATGAGTCTTAAAAAAAATTCTTATAATAATGACGTACCTTTCTCAGAATAGATTTGTCAAACACTGAGGAAATTCAAGTGTACAGCAAGGGCAAATTTATCACAACAAAGAAAGAAACAACAGCTGCTGGAAGGAAAAATCAAGAATCTATGGTAACACTCCTTTGTGCACCTCAAATGCTCCAACAGACAACACCATAAAAGATGTCTGATGACACCACAGAGTCAAATGTAGTAAAAAGAATACAGTTTCTGGTGAGGAATAAATTAAGACATCTCACGATTTGCTGCCAATTAGAAACTCTGAAATCCATAACACACTGCTTTGATTTTTTTGCCCACCAGGTTTTTTAAAACAGCAGACAGTGTATGCTTCTCTTAAAACAGGTCATTTTCCATAGGTCCTGAAGACTTAAATTTCTTAAAAACAGATTTCTGTTTATTTTAAATAATAGTAATAACAAAAAATTGTTAAACATTGATGGTGTTACTTATAGGCACAAACTTTGACAGCTAGGAAACCAAATATTTAGGTAGGTCCCCTGATTTCACCCTGGGTCTCCTGAAACGTTTTATGCAGCCCTGCAGCAGAACCAGAAATATTTTATTGAAGAGCATGGAGAGGTAATGTCAATAATTCATCTTTCAGGGTTTATTTTAGTATCCTGGTAGTTCTACGTCATATCACGTCGTCTTGATTTATATTCTGTGCTCCAGTACACTTCCACTGCTCTTTCTATTTTGGGTTCTCATTATAATTTCATTCCATTGAGCAACGGAAATGAAAGACACGCAAAGTCTGGATTATGAAGCTTCATAGGGTTTAGCAAAAATTACATAACCCTGTTGCAGTCTGTTCACTATATTTGATCTGTGAGAGTAAGAAGGGCAAAGTCTTATATAAAAACCAAAGTGAAGGACAGGAGCAGTTTTTACAGCTCTGACGAATCAAGACATAAATAAATACATTTTTTAAAAAGCCACCATGACCTGACCTATCTCACTGGATCGGTTCACAAACAGTTAATAAAATGCCCCTTTTTTTGTCCCCCATGTACACAAATCACTGCGGATGTCAAAGTCAAAAACCAGGAAAACTCAAACTATATGAAACAGGAAATGAGAGAACATCTAACTTCAAAATAAAGGCGAAAAATGATTATTTGTTCAAATTACTATTTTAAACTTTGCAGAGTGTAAACATCAAATAAAAAATAACAAATTGGGTCGTTTGGAAATTATTTTAAAAACACTGTCGTCTAAAACTTTTTAGAACCCCATACAACTTTGCAAACATTACAAAAGTAGAAACACAGAGATTTGTCTTATTCTGTTTTCTTTATCATCTCATTGACCTTCCGATTTCAACGAGGGATTTTCGTCCTCACAAATGGGTGTTTTTTTTTAAAACGACGTCGTAAAAATGAACACGAAAGAGTAGAGAAAGTAGTCTTTAGTACTAGCTCTTTAGTATAGTTAGCTTTCCTTCTTGTCGTCTTATATAATATCCGCCCGTTGAGCTCGAACCATAAAATGGAACCCGCTTTCGGTTAAACAAATGCTTTAAATAAAGGAGCAACTTTTACTTTGAAGTAGTTATAGCAAAAAAACGGAAGTCGGAGTTTTCGTCGCTCCAGCTGATATGCCGCAAAGTTAAGGGGAGTCACTGACAACCTTACAGAGGAAACCCATTTCTAACGTCGTGCTAACCTCTCCGTTTAGCTAAATACTTATACATTGACTCGTTTGGGATAAACTTCATTTGAATAAAAACGCGACTGTGCGGCTTGGAGAAAATAAAATGTCCAAAACAGACTGTAAAGCCGCACAAGAGATGACAGAGGCGGTAAGTTTGCTCATCGGAACTCGCAGATCTTATGAAAACCTTACTTAACTTCAGTTTCAGTTAAACATGTTTAACTTTACATTTCAAGGGCAGGTTTTTTTCTTCTTCTGTGTCTTCAGATGGAAACTACGATGCAGCGACTTCAGGAGAGGTTTCTGGCTATATCTGAACAGCTGGAGTCAAGAAATATCCTTTTTTTCTCTCCCCCTTTTGTTTTCATTATTTAAGGTTTTGGTGACACAGCTTGTTGTTTTCACTCAGCTGAAACACTTGAAATCATTTACTAATAAATGACGTGTTTAAGTCAAGGAAGTTCGATGACCACCAGAGGGCAGTCACACTTTAAAAAATGGCATTCTTTATACCATTGTGACCAGAAAATATTATTTAAAAGCATTCATTGTTTTAAATAATTAGCACCTAAACCTGCATCAGAAAGGAAGACGCAGTTTTGTGTTGGAGGTAATAAGCTTGCTAAATGTGGCAGTGAGTTGATGTGGGGCTTGCTGTTTGTGCCAACACAACCTCATTGTCTGATTTGAATGGGTTGCCATCTCACAACAGTGTTTGACCAGCATAGAGGAAATAAACAGAATTTTCAGTGGTGTAAGTTGTAATGCCAAGAAGTGTGGTTTCAGTGAAAGATAGTTTAGCTTTTTGAGCTAAGATGATTTATACAATCTAATAAGGATGGTGCATTAGCTTTTTTTTCCCCTTTAAATTATATATCCATTTTACAAAGGATTCATAAATATAGATGCACTTTGTGGCGAAAACAATTGAAGTGGAAAATAGAGAAGTGAGGAACCAGGCTGACAGAACTTTTGCAACATTTATAGTCTATGCAGTTTATCCGCCCTGAAGCGCATATTCTGCAACACTCTAGGGGGAAAATGTCTCTCTTTGCAAAAATGCACCAAGAAAAGCTCTGGCTTGTCCGCCATGTTTTTCTTCACTGAACTCTCCATGCAGTTATGACATTTTAGAGGTGCGCAGCTTGGAAAATTTTGTCGCACAGAGGGACGTGGTTGCTGGAATGCCAAAACTTGACCTCGTGGTGCCGCAGAGACCTCGCGGATGAGTCAAGCATAAACCAGACAGAACTCTGCTCTTTAACAAGGGTGTGTGGAACATGCACCAAAAGCAAAACAGGATTTTCCTGCAATTGCGGATCAGCTTCCATCTGTTTTCTACGAATTGAAGATGAACTGAGACGATGTTTTGTGTGGGCTATGACCAACCACAAGAGACAAAGGACTGACAGCACTGCTCGGAGGAAATCGGGTGTAATTTTAGGTTTAAGAGCTCCCAAAATAACTTCTGCTACTAGTTACAAACTACTATGTTTGTAACTAATGTAGGTACAAACCTTTATTATGGGTAATTATTTATCAGATCATGTCATTCAAGTCTTTCTGACTGAATTCTCTTGAGAATTTGCTGTAACATTCAACTGACAAAGGTTTGCAGATGTCTTTAACTCTTACACTGGATCAGATGGGAACTCGCATCGACGACCTGGAGAAGAACGTAACTGAGCTGATGACACAAGCTGGCATGGAGGACAAGGCCAGTCCAAAGTGACTCTAGACAGGCTGGATACTTAAAGTCATTGCTGTGCTGGAAGGTGAACCTCTGCTCCTAGGTTTTCTTCCAGGTTGATTTTCAACCATCTTCCAATGATTCCAGTTGAACTCTACCAACTTTCATATCCCAGAAGAAGAAAAGCATCCCTATATTCCTCAATGTGTCACAGTGGGGATGACGTTTGTTTTTCACCCTACAGTGTTTTGGTTGTAGGTTGTTCTCATCTGACCAGAGCACCTTGTTCCTCATGTTTGCTGTGTTTCCCTACATAGCATTTTACAATCTTCTAACAACATTTTACTGCTGATGTTCAAGATCCTGGACCAGGCTCTTAGACCACTTCATGTGACTTGACCTGTTTCAAGCCTCCTTTGAAGTTGAACCAGATATACCATCGTTTTTTGAGGTGCTTCCACACTGTGATCTCCTGTTTTCAAAGCCAGTCCAATCAGATTGCAGCTAAATGAGAAACCAAAGAACATTGTGGAGATTTATCAGAATCACTTTCATACTGAACCTTAGCTGGCTGATATGGCATCAAATCTACATGTGTTAGACAAACCAGAAGTATATATTGTTTGGTATCTGTTTATGTACCAGCAGTGTATCGTTACTGTTCCAACTTCCTCTGTCTAGATGAAGTTAGGAGGTTCATCAGCTTCATTCATTTTAATCCAACCTTCCGTAACGTCGGTGCTTTCTATCAATCTTGCTTTTAATGAACTTTCACTAAAAGGGCTTTTGTTTTCACTGCTTCCACTTTATTTGGATATATTTCAAGATATGTTGAATGCATTTTCTTGTATATTGTTATATTTTCTTTACTAAATTAAAAAAAGTTTATATGACACTCTTTTGGAGTCTAAAATGTTGATTGAATGTGCAGAGAACCTAACAAAATGTGGATCCATCATTTAATCTATTCTGTTCTGCTTCGTCTGTTAAGGTATTTTTTCTGTTGCCAGTGTTTCCATTCA